GATTTTTACCACCCATAAATAATTTTTGCGGTCTTAATTAGTCAATTTTAGGGGCTTGAAAACTTCAATTTTCAATAGCCTTGAGCAAAACAAGTTGGTTACTTTAGGGGGCCATCCATTTACCCAAACGAAAATTGCCGATAAAAAGTCATTTCGACAAATGTTTGCAATATGTAAGTAATATTTTTCAGGTTCCCACATTTAGCCAATTTCAGGGGCTCGTTAGGGGGCAAGGCCCCTAAAACGGTCCAAATCTTCAAAATTGCCTTTAAACGACTCAGTCGAGGTGAAATCTCATGCATTTTAACTGATATAACTCTAGGGGCCCCTAGGGGCAGGAAAATTAACATTTTCAGGGGCGCAGCCTCATGTGGACGAAAATCGATAAATTGCAAAAGCTGATGTTTCGGGCGATTTTGCAGGAAAAATTGCGTCGAAAAAACCAACATGACTCAACACAGAAAGTGTTGAAATTCCCCCGAGCACCATCTAGATAGGGGGCGAATGGGTGCCCATGTAAAACCCATTTTCTCGAACAATGGCGCACTTGAATGGTGCCTCCTAGACGAAATAAGCAAGGCAAGAGAACCGGCTGGTTGCCATGTTGCAACACGTTATTTCGCAATGACACCGCACGACAAAGAACAGTGTTGCGCTACAGATAGGAAGCCATTTAGCTTAATTGTTGGCTAAAAATGCCACTAATTGCACGTTTCGCTCAAGGATACACACTCACACACGCGTTCAGCTAATTCGCGATCCGAGAGGTTGGATTTCATCAATTTTTCCGCTGAAAATGTCTTTGATTGCATCGATTCCAACAGGAAATTGCCGACTTGTCCGGATGCATCCAGACGGAGGTTCGGGCATTTTCACACCCAAACACTAATGAATGGAAATAAAATAAGGTCAACGGCATCATCGAGCCAATAGGGGGCGATTAGTAAAAATAATACGGTCGCATCAAGCCGTTTTGGCCAATTGCCACATTGCCATGTTCGGAAGGAAGAAGACTGAAAATCCAGTGGCGCACGTTCGAATCCAGTCGATTTTCATTCGGAACTAACCTGAATCCGACCGGACTAAGAGAGAGACGAGTGCGCACCAGTGATTAGTCATGTGGACTGAAAAGAGACAGGTGACAAATGAGATGACAAGAAGACAGCGACATTTCGGCTGGAATGTGTCAATTGAAACTGTCACCTTTTGACACTTACAATTGCATGCTCAGACTTCAAAACGCGTAACTTCTAATCGAGGACAAGAAGTAGCAACTTGAAATTCTACAGTCCATAGACGACTTTTGGGTTTGTAAGTGCTGCAAATTTCAATCAAGTGGCACTAGATCTGGATTTTTGCAGGCTTGGATAAACGTTTCCCTTCCAACAAGGCACTGCGCTTGAAAAATTCGTAACTTCCCATCCGAAGCAAGACGCAACATGAATTTAACACGGTCTAAAGAATACACTTGAGTCTGAAAACCGTGAGAATGTCAATCAAATAGCACTAAATCTGGGTTTTTGACGGCATAGTGAATGTTAGCCCCGAAATGAACGTCTTCCTTCAAACTGCTCACTGCGCTTGAAATAGTCGAAACTTCGCATCCAAAGCAAGAAGCAACTTGAATTTAACATGGTCTATAGAAGACACTTTAATCTGAAAACCGTGAGAATGTCAATCAAATGGCACT